GCATGCCTGTTCGGTTTGGTAAGTGAGGACACCTTGGGGGTATTTTCTGGGGGGGGCACTAGAAGCAGAGGTGCTATGGGGGGCTGCGCAGCCCACCCTGGTGCTGAGGGGTGTCCCCAATCACAGGTGATGATGGCATCGGGGATGGCTCCCCCTTCCAATCGGCTGACTGGGACGACAAGAAAGTCCGGCACACCTTCATCCGCAAGGCGAGTCCCGGGGGCTGGGGGCACCCGTTGGGGTGAGGGGCTGGGTGCTGACCCCCCATGTCTCTCGCAGGTCTACGCCATCATCTCCCTACAGCTGTTGGTGACGGTGGGGATCGTCGCCGTTTTCACCTTTGTGTGAGTGGAGGCTCCCTCCTTAGCCTTGCCCTGAAAAAGGGGGAGCCTGGCCCCGTATCCCCTGTGGGGAGGTCCCGAGGGGACAGGAGTTGCTGTGCCCCCTCCCTCACGCTCATCCCTCCCATCCCACAGCTCCCCCGTCCGCTCCTTCGTCCAGAGGAATGTTGCCATCTACTACGCCTCATAGTGAGTAGGGGGTCTGCCGGCCCGTGCCCTCCAGCAGCTGGCACCCCACAACTGCAGCCTCCCAGCCCCAGGGGGCAGTGGGTTCTGCTGGGGGGGTGTCCCTGGGCTAACACCCCCTGTCTCTCTCTGCAGCGCTGTGTTCCTGGTGACCTACCTGGTGCTGGCCTGCTGCCAGGGCCCCCGGTGAGTCACAGGTGGCTGGGACCCCTGCATGGGGGAGTGCGGATATGGGGGGGTGCTCCTGGGCATCAGAGGGGTCTCTGCCTCCTCCTGCCCCTGGCGGGGTGGGGACCAGGGGGGACGTGATACAGCCTCTGTCCCCAACTCACCTCTGTCTCCCTGTTTCATCCCCAGGAGACGCTTCCCATGGAACATCATCCTGCTGACCCTCTTTGTGAGTGGGCTGGGGCTGGTTTGGGGGGGCCTGGTGGTGCTCCCATGGCACCCCAGCTCCCCAGGCGGGCTGGGAGGGATAGGGGCCCACCTTGGCAGGTGCCGCTCACCCTGCTGAGCCCACCTTTCTCTCCTGCAGACGCTGGCCATGGGGCTGATGACGGGGACGATCGCCAGGTATGCCCTGGGGATCACACGGTGACAGGAGCTGGGGTCCCTCCTGTCCCCTGTTGTGCGGCCAGCTCAAATGAGAGGCTGCTGCGAACCAGTGGCCACCCTGGTCCCCTGGGCTTGGGGACAGCGGGGTCTCTGCTGAGGATTGGGGCCGTGGGGGGGGGGTCACCAACACCCCCATAGCAGGGGGATGCTGAAGTGTGGGGTGACTCTGGTGTCCCCTCCATTCACAGCACGTACCGGACCAACGCCGTCCTGATCGCCATGCTCATCACTGCCATTGTGGCCATCATCGTCACCATCTTCTGCTTCCAGACCAAGGCAAGGGGCAGGATGTGCCCTGCCCTGTCCTGGGGGGGGTCAGGCACAGGGAGCAGGGCGATGGGGACACCCCAGGATCTCCTGTGACGGATGTGTGTCTCCCGTCAGGTTGATTTTACATCGTGTCCGGGGCTCTTCTGCGTGCTGGGCATCGTGGTCATGGTGACCGGGATTGTCACTGCCATCGTCCTCTCCTTCAAATATGTGAGTGGGGGGACAGCGGGGCTGCGGGGTGTCACGGGTGCCCCCAGGGCTGGTATGGGCAGGGGGGTTTGGGTGGTCCACCTTTGCCACGAAGCAGAGTGCGGTGCTGGTTATGGCAGAGGCTGCTTGCCCGCAGGGAGAGGGTGTGTCGGCATCAGCAACATCTCCTGGGGAGCCGGGTGCGGGCAGGACCTGCCCTGCCTTGCCTGCTGCCTGCCGGCACCCAGCTCACTCTGCCCGCGTCCCCTTCCCTGCGCAGGTCCCCTGGCTCCACATGCTGTATGCGGCCATTGGCGCCATCGCCTTCACCCTGGTGAGTTGATGGCTGGGGCGAGCAGAGGGTGTCAGGAGGAGGGGAACTGGTCCCCTGGTCACTGCCTGACACTCTCTGCCCCCCCCCCCCAGTTCCTTGCCTATGACACACAACTTGTGCTGGGGAACAGGAAGAACACGCTGAGCCCCGAGGAGTACGTCTATGGTGCCCTCACCATCTACACTGACATCATCTACATCTTCACCTTCATCCTGCAGATTGTGGGTCGGGATTAGCCCCGGGACCCCTCCTGTCCTACGCCCTGTTGCCCCTCACCCTCTTCTCTGGCCTCTGTACAGGATAAGGCCACTTACTGTGACTCCTAACGCTTCGGCATCTCTACCCATAGACTGCTAAGGGCTTCCCTTGATCACCCCCCTCAGCCTCCAAGGCTAGTGCTGGGGGTACCAACTATGGGTGTCTGGGCAGTGCCTGTCCTTGGCACCGCTCGCCGATGCTGTGCCAGCGGTGTCAGGCTGGCAGTGGAGTGCCACGGTCCTGCCTGGGCACGGGGAGCTGGCAGCGGCTGCTGGGACCGTGTTGGCATTTTTTTTGTAGAGTCTGGTTGTTGTCATTCACTCAGTGCCTTAAATGTGGCTCCGGCTGTGCTGGCCCCCCCCCCCCGAGCTGTGGCAGTGCCCAGTGCAGATGGGGGACAGCTGGGACCCCTGTAGCGGGACTCATGGCAGAACTCGTGTCGCAGAGGCCCTGCAGCCACGGATGTGGGCAAAGTTGCACTTGCTAAATAAAACACTTTAATTTTCCAGATAGTCCCAGTCTCATTGGTGTGGCGACTCCCCTGAAAAAACCTGTAGGCAGCCTCTGGGGGGGCTGCGGCCTGGGGCAGCACAAACTCTGCTTCGGGGTGGAGAAAACAAGGTCTAGCTGCTCCAGGCCTGGCCTCCCTCCCCTGCCGGTTCCCCTCTACCCTTGTGGGCAGAACCCTGACCGTGGGGGCAGGCAGAGCCTGGGGCTGAGCGCTGAGGGAGCGACCACACTGAGCTGTTCCACGCACCAGGGATGAGGTTTATTTGTCCCTATCCAGCCCCGTGACCACCCCATGGGCTAGACAGGGAGGACAGGTGCCAGTGCCGTGTGTCCCATGGGGCTGCTGTCCCCATGGCCAGTCCCTTCAGGGTGCCATGGTGCCCGGCTGGGGGAAGCCTGGCTATGCCCCCCTGGCCACCATCTTGTATCGCTCCGTTTCGTACTCACCCTGGTTGGCTTCCATCATCTTTCGACGGATTTTGAGCTGCTCCAGACGATTTTTGTCCACTTCCCGCTTGGCCAGGAGGAAGAGGATGATGCCAGAGGGCAATCCGATGGCCCAGGCCACCCCCACCGGCTTCATCGGGTTCTTGCCCTTCTTGCGTGTGGGGATGTACTCCACCCCCTCGGGGAGCCCCCCGTTGCCGGGCTCTGGGCCAGCCCGTGGCCCGGCTGG